AGATGAAAAGGGGACGACAGGACCAGAGGTCAGAGTTCAGGAACTAAAGGTTACTCTGCTTACCTCAAGCACTTGCTGGAGGCTCGGCTGCCCATCCACCATGCCTTGAATAATCCCAGTCAGCTGAAACAAGAGACAAACAGAAGGCAGGCGTCAGAACAGCACTCAAAAGATCATTAGAGAGGTCTCCTCTCCTGTCCATCTCACTGCAATCAAAACATCCTGTGACCCACGTGGACATTGCTGAGGAGCCAGCCACAGCAGAGCGACCCTGGCAGCTCCACAGCCACTGGCAAGGGCACAGCTTCAGCCCAAACACAAAAATGTAAGGGGGCTCCTACCCACACCATAAAACAGCAAACTCTCAGCAGGGCAGGAGCCACTTGGGGAGCAGTGGTGCCCTCTTGCTTCGTGTACCAGCACGATGCCCAAAATGCTGCCCTTTTTCAACCATGCATTTCACCAGTTTTGATGTTGCCCTGACTTACACAGGCAGCGGTAACTACTGGGGTCTCTGGTCGTTCCCCTGCTACTGCAGTGACACCAAAATGGCACAGTGTTAGATGAAGAGAATAGACTGCTATCGGTAAGTGACACCCAAGGTGGACCCAGTCATGGGTCAAGGTGGACCAAGGTGGTTCAAGGTGGACCCAGTCAAGGGCAGCCAGCACGTGTGCTTCCCCACAGTCCATCACAGCATCCCTCTGCATTTCAAAACTGTATTTAAAACAACTGAATGAAATCTGAAGAAAACCACTTTCTTCCAGAACCCTGGTCTACTCTGTTTTTCAGGAGGTTCCTTAGGAACAGGTCCTGACAACAGACAGCCCTACTGACTGTATCCGGACTGCTTGGCTGTTTAAAACTAGACACACGCATAAAAAGATGCAGTCTCATGGGCCTCTGCTTGTGTCTGCCCAGGATAGCTTGAGGCCCATGGAAAATAGATAATTTTTCTGTCTGCCTTCTAACTGACAAAACTGTCTTTTAACATATTGAATATCGGAGGTCAGTAGCTTGCCATCAATGCACCCAAGTAATTAAAAAAATCATTATTAAAACAAGTGCACACTACAGGATTTCACTTCATATGGCACTTTCCTGAAGCTACACGTCTCACACGTTTTCATAAAATAAAGGTCAAACACAGCCTAGGAGCATGCCCTGCTGCCTGCACACGCATCCAAGCCTCCAGAAGCCATAGCATCCAGTCGAGAGGTGCTGACAGCCCCACCACCACCCAGGAGTAACTCTTCTGCGCTGACCAGCTCAATCTACTCATAAAACATAAGCCCTCTCACAAACCACAGGGCTCTGCTTTATTAAAAGTGTGGCAACTGAAAGAAGCTCAATGGTTTCTACCTCTCCGTTTCTTTGGCTGCTTGGCTTACAGCACTGAACTCAGAGGAAGGAGAAAAAAAAAAAAAAAAGAGATTAAACTCCAATTAAACTGTAATTACATTTAATGAATACCAAATACCTGACTCACTGAATAAGCTGTAAGTGGAAAGATTATTTTCTCATAGTGACTTCCATGGAATGGTAATATATACCTTTTAGGGAAAGTATTTTAATTTTAAGAATGCAGAGTTCCTCTAGGTGGGTTTCTCAAGTTCATCAAGCCATTATGAGGTAGAATTTTAAGGAAGTGGAGGGACACAGACACTCTTTTACATTCCAGAAACTGTTTTTATATTAATCTGTATTTTAATTGGGTAACAGCTGCTACCTACAGACTTCCCATACTCTGAGAGGCAAATGGATTTGAGAGATTAACACGCGGCTCTTTAGAGCAGTTTTTAAAGCTCACTGGCTTGTTTCTTGCTTTTCTTGCCCTCTTCTCCATGAATTCGCGTGGCAGAGGTGGAGAGCTCACCTACTGCAAAGTGCTGGCTCTGCCTCTCAGAGGGCAGCTCAAATCAAACCTCTGGAAGTGGCCGAAAGATGAGCTTTTGGGAAAGGATCATAGAATCATAGAATAGTTTGGGATGGAAGGGACGTTTAAAGGTCATCTAGTCCAACCCTCCTGCAATAAGCATGGACATCTTCAACTAGATCAAGTTGCTCAGAGCCCCATCCAGCCTGACCTTCAATGTTTCCAGGGATGGGGCATCTACCACCTCGCCAGGCAACCTGTTCCAGTTTCATCACCCTCATCGTAAAAAAAAGTCTTTATTATATCTAGTCTGAATCTACCCTCTTTTAGTTTAAAACCATTATCCCTTGTCCTGTCGCAACAGGCCCTACTAAAAAGGCTGTCCCCATCTTTCTTATAAGCCCCCTTTAAGTATTGAAAGGCTGCAATAACGTCTCCCTGGAGCCTTCTCTTCTCCAGGCTGAATAACCCCAACTCTCTCATCCTTTCCTCATAGGAGGGGTGTTCCATCCCTCTGATCATTTTTGTGGTCTTCCTCTGGACCCACTTCAACAGGTCCATGTCTTTCCTGTACTAAGGATGACAGGCAGCCTTTCGGTATCACAGCCAGCACTGATGTAAATGGCTTCTGCCGCTCCAGGCACCTTCAGGACTGCATCTGTTCAGCACCGCATCCCTGATGGCCACAGGAGGACCGGGTGAAATGGCCTCGCCCAGACATTTCCCATCAGGAGGAGGGAGGGACGGGAAGGTGGATGCAGAGGTCCCACCAAAGAGTCACTGCCTGATCTTGCCCAAGACTCCTTCCCTCCTTCCCTGCCAGGCCAAGCGAAGTACCAACTTATCCGTACAAGAACACGTCACCAAGCACACATGCATGCAAGATTCATGCTGCAGAAATCGCACACAAAGAGATACACCTGCTCCATGGGTACATTTCATTACAGGTCAGAGAGTGCTCAAAAGCGATCAGATTTCTACTCTCTCACCGTTTCTGATCCTTTCGGTTATCAGTTACATCCATCTGTAACACCCAACCTACTGCATTTGGTCTCTGCAGCATTATCTGGTCTTGCAGCTTTGATAAAGTATGAAAACATAAAACTGCACAATTGTAAAGTTTCACTGGCGATTCCAAGAAGCACATGGTACTTGGGAACATAAACAAGCTATAAGGCATTTATCTTTTTGTACTTTTATTGTCTGTTCCTTCAAGAAAAAAAAAATCAATAAAAATTAATCATAAAAAGAGAGCAAAGTACCATGAAAAAGCCTGCACAAGCACCTTCTGTGTAGAGGGAACCTTTCACTTAAGCTCCTGGCATGAACTTTCTTGGGCATCAGACAAACCACTTGCATCTTCCAGAAGTGCATGATGAGCTTTATACACCTAACAACAGCTTTTAACCACTTGCAAGCACTTTCCACCTTCTCTGCCTAAATGTTCAGCACACCCCTCATCATAACCAAGCCTCATGACCTGCTGTTTTACAGAAACAGGTCAAGAGAAAGGGGACCAGATGAGAGCTACAGAGTGAGCTGGCACTGGAAGACATGCTCCTGGCCATTGGTGTGGGGAGTCAGAGGAACCTCCTGTAGCCAGGGGAGAGCACAGACACACCAAAAGCTAAGCAAAGGGACGCCTTGAGGGTGACTATGAGCTCTCCACCCTTGCAGACACCCTTCCCGTGCTGTGCTGTCTTCTTCAAGAAGGGAGAGGGATGCGAGAGGTACTCCAGACCCAAGGTCAAGCAACCCTGGTAATCCTCCCACACACAATCTATACCAAGCAGTCCTAATGCTTCCCGGCAAAGGCAGCCAGCGGAGGGGAAAGGGGAAAGCAGCAGCACAGCAGACAGGCTCCCGTGTTATGTCAACACCACTGCTTTTCCTACAGAGTTTATCTGGGACACCATCGTATTTCTACTCCAAGACAGTTTGCTGATTACCTAAGCACTTGTCTCTGGTGTACAATCTGATAATCAGGCCTGGTCTTTCTTTGTAGACAAAGAGGCCAATAAATCTCACCCTTTGTAAGTAGAGGTGCCTAGACAAAGCCCTTTACCGGCATTTAGCAAAATGGGTATTTTTCAGAAAACATAAAACAGCTGAAAGTCAGTGGCAACACTGGAGCTCCGCAGGCAGTGGCTCCGCAGGAGCTGGCCACACAGCACGCCCCAGCTGTGTCCCCGGGGTCCCAGGGGAACCTACACCAGTGGCACAGGGCTGACCCCTGCGCCTGCCGAGCAGGAGCCACCGACCCCACAGGCCTCTACAAGGCCACTACAGCCTCCACAAAAAAAGTGGCTGCAAATACGAAAGGATATTTTGCAACTGTTTAGTAAGGTCCTCAGTACGACCAGCTGACCTGTGGCTCCTAGGGCAGAGTTTCAAAGCCAGTCCCAGATACAGGGCCCAGGGACAAGCCCAGTTACCCCTCGAGCATGATCCCACTCCCTGGACCTCATGGCAGCCTCTGCAACAGGCAGGGGGACTGGCAAGCCAGGAGGGACAGGGGCCATGCTGTGCACCCAGCAGCATGGGCACGGTGGGGGGGATGCCCAGGAGCCGGTAGCTTCCAGGCTAGGATTAAAACCAGCTACCTAACCCACACTGTTAATAACAGAGAACTCGCCAAACCTGGCGAGTTGGACCATTTTGTGCCACTGATAGACATCAGTGGGGGTTCTGCAATCATTTTGCTTGCTGGCCTCAGCACTGCCCATTTTTATCCAACTCTGGACACAAGACACCAGACCAAAGTCAGCGGCAGAAGCTGCAGCGCAACGCTGCAGCTGGGACGCCCGTGCCCATTCTGGGGACTCCTGCAAATGCACAGCCAGCATACGCACACAGCCTCGCTTGCTGAAGGGCTCCACACAGGAGTCACGAACCTGCAGAGACACAAACAGCTGCTCCAGGCTCCCGACAGCAAGAGAAGGCAGAGAAACTGGCACCGCAGTGAGGGAGCATTAGATGGGCTGTATGTCTCTGTCACAAGCTTGGTGTCCAGAGGACCTCCCAATGTCCTCAGGCTGCAGCAGGCTGGAGGCTCCGTTCAGCCTGAACAGCCGCACCAAGCAAGTCATGCAGACTCTCGTGCAACAATGGAGCTGCAACATTTAGCCGCTGGGGGAAGGACGCAACAGAGGAATTTCCAGAAAAAGGAATTTTGGTGGGAGTTAGTAAGTGAGACGACTTCTCTCTAGAATTTAGATGACGTGCAAAATGGACATTTTGGGCTCTACCCTGGAAGATGACGTTGCTCTCAGCAGAGATCAGGTGCAAGCTGTGAGATTTATCACATTTGTACAAGCATATGTCCAGCAAGTCTCATGGGGATAAGGACAGCCAAAGTAGTTGTCCAGCCTTCTAGTATTAAGGTTGCAAAATCGTTTCCATTATAGCCCTCCGTTTTCACACATTTATAGCTTTCTGAAAGCTCCTCTACTGGGAATAATGTTTTCTGTGCTTAGTCTTTTTTTTTTTTTTTAAGTTTAAATAAAATACCTTCAGCTGGTTTTTAGTTACAAGAGAAAAAAAAAAAGTATTTGTTTTTACAATGTGCAAATATGGAGGGGGCTGGTTGGTCCTGGAGGGGACTCCACCTAACACAGAGGACTCATTTTTCATCAAGTTAGTACACATGGGACAAGCACTTCAAGGACCCAAACCTGCAGCCACAGAGGTCAGATAAAACACACCATGGTGTCGATGATCCCGGATGAGACCAGGACAGAACGAAGAACTTGGATGCCTCAATTCCCATAGTCAGTACTTCAGTCACTGAGCTGGCCAATATCGAAACAGTACAGTAACAGGAAAAAAGCCCAAAGCAAAAGGAACTTAGAAACTTTGTTTTACTGGCTACAGCAGGGAGGAAGAACACACTTGCAGAAACAGTTAACTTAGTGTTGAATGAAGAAAATATAACAAAAAAAAAAGCAAAACCAAAAAACAACCTCTGCCCCCCTATTCCTTTGAACCATCAGGGATCACATTTACCACCTTCATCCTCTCATCTGTATCTGAGGAAAGGTGGCCGCAGCTCGAGAGCAGCTGTCCTCAGCAATGAGAGTAACCAAGTGACAAGAGGCCACTTCTCCAGCAATCATTTCAAGGGCCCCATGAGCATGACACCAAAAAGAAAGTCTTACAAATACAGTCTTGGGTTACCCTACCACTCTGAAGGGCTCATCAAATCCCAACAGGCAGGCCCACAGGAGAGTCATTTAAAGGCTCTGAACCATGCAGCAGTACGACACTTTCTTCCCTCAGACCATGCTCTCTCTGACCTTCCCCACCACAGAGCAGCACGGCAAAATCATGAAGAGCTCAGAGAGAGGCTACAGGATTTTGAGCATCAGCTAACATGAGAGCTTTTATTTTGTGATCACCCAGGAAGACATTCGTTACTTGTAAGGACAACTGATCTTAATTAGCAGATCATAGCTAGCGTTATTTATGAATCCAAACTGAGGTCTTTACATGCTACTGCAATGATAAAAAACAATTCCCCTTGTCCTTAGCTAGAGGCTGGCATGACACGCTGCCTTGCAGCCGCACCGTGAAGAGGCGACCCCAGCCCCTGGTGCATTGGAAACCTGCTTCCCAGGGAGAGTCTTGGAGCACCGGGGAACCTTTGCACTTTACCTCTGTACAGAAGGGCGTAAGCTGGGGATGCACCACAGGCTGAACATACATGTGAAAGGTGGATTCGATCTCCATCGTCCTGCCATTCAGCTTCAGGATAGGGAATTCGATGATTTCCTGAATAGGGCAAAAAAAAAAGCAGCTGTTCATTTAAAACAAACAAAAAATGAAGCTGGAAATGATCCTGCCTAGCAAGCTGGGCCTGACAACCCCAAACACAAACAAGCTTGACATGAAGCTCTGCACTACAAGGGGGAAAGCGGTGCCAGAGCACAGAGCACATCCAACACCATGAGCGCGGAGGAGGATGGTGCCGACGCTCATCGCAGCTGGGACGGGCGGCAGGGATGTCTCTGTGCTCAGCGCTGCAACCGCAGACATCGCCGCCTAAGCCGACCCTACGGAAGAGGGTCTGGCACCACTCACACGTGCTGGCACCACCAAGGGAACATGGAGACAGACTTGCAACGGGCTCACGTCTGTTTAGCAAGGACACCCCAGGGGCTGTGCCCTCCCCAAGACCAGTCCCACCCTCTCCACCTTGCTGTCCTTTTGGAGGACACCACCAGACAGACAACAGGAGCTACTGCATGGAGCACCTCCTTCCCAGGAGAAGCTGAGGAGCACTGCTCTGCTCCAACAGAGCAAGGAGAGGAGCTGGAAGCTCCCCCCCCCCCCCAAATCCATCCCTATGGGATACAGCACAGTAGCAAACCCTGCTTAATTTTCCTCTTTGTAGCCAATTTATGCTGATAGGGAAATAAAAATGTTCCTTCATCAGAAGAATGTTCAATTATTTGAATAATCAGCAATCAAAAATTTACATGGACCTGTTAATAAGAAGTTTAAACAAATCCAGTTGCGATGGATTTCTCAATTATGAAAAAATATACATGAAATTAAAAAAGCCGACCACTGAATAAAAGCGATAAAATCCTTTGTGTTCACCCCCCTCCTTCTCCACTCCCTCTCCTCCTTCCAGTTTAATGTAAGAGGAGAAGTGACAATTTGTTTGGTGTCTTTAAAGAATAATTTGTCTATGTTATTTAATAGAGATGCATGGCACCAAGGTTCTGGAGTGCAAATGAGCCTGCTGAGTGATATCCATGCAACAAGCCTCTCAAATCACTTCTGGAGAAAAACAGAGAGAGGGAGAGAGAATAAAAAAAATATTGCTTTTTAATATTCAAAAACAGTTTGCAAAATTTAATCAAAGCAGAGCAAAAGCTAACATTTTTACCACTTTGACATTTTTATTAGCGCTTTCATAAATTTTTAAAACATGAATGGAATTAGTTTAACAACAAAAAAAACTGCCTGAAAACATCTGGAAGAGACAAATAAGAAATAATAATAAAAAAAAAAAAAATCCAACTCCTGTGAGTAAAATTAGCATGTGGAAAACGCAGCCGCTGCAGAGGAACTAACACAGTTTTTGGACCCTGGCTGCAACCCTCATGACCCGCAGGCGGAAAGTATCGTGAGGTCATACATATAAGCTGATGACATCACCACCCCGGCAGGCAAAGGGAAGGCAAGAAGCTAGGTGGGTAAACGGAAACAACAAATAATTTAAATATCCAGGAGAAACACCCAGTTTCCATGGTGGACAGAGCCCCTGGCCGCAGCGGAGCAGCTCCCTGGAGCAGCAGGCACACAGCCCAGACCAGAGCACACAGGGAGCACGTGCCACTGAGATGGAAAGTTAAAAAAAAAAAAAATAAAAAAAAAAAAAATAAAAAAAAAAAAAATAAAAAAAAAAAAAATAAAAAAAAAAAAAATAAAAAAAAAAAAAATAAAAAAAAAAAAAATAAAAAAAAAAAAAATAAAAAAAAAAAAAATAAAAAAAAAAAAAATAAAAAAAAAAAAAATAAAAAAAAAAAAAATAAAAAAAAAAAAAATAAAAAAAAAAAAAATAAAAAAAAAAAAAATAAAAAAAAAAAAAATAAAAAAAAAAAAAATAAAAAAAAAAAAAATAAAAAAAAAAAAAATAAAAAAAAAAAAAATAATAAAGTGTTGACAGTGCCCAGGTGTAGACACCAAGCAGTTAAGCTGCAGAGGACACAGGGCTTAACCACTTCCCCACGATTGGCTGTGCCACACTCGGCACGTGCCGTGTAGGCTAAAGCAGAGCAGAGGTTTGGGCGCATCCTTCCCCATGGCCATGCCACCCTGCCGGGAGTCACCAAGTTTCCCCAGGAAAGAGCCGAAACTCCAGCCATGGGCTGGAAGGAGAGGAGGAGACAGAAGCAAAACACCTGAGCATTGCCCAGATTGCCTGTCGTGGTGCAGCCAAACTCACCAGCCTCAGCCACACAGGAGGACCCGTGGAAACGCGAGAAACTCAATCTGATTAAGAAACGCTGGACACAGCTGATCCTCCCTTCAAAAGAGCTACCACAGATAGGCTCCGAATGCAGCAAGTTTCTGTTCAGAAGGAAAACGGACTGCAAAGTTTGAAGCCAATGGACAGGACGTCGTAACAGAGCCAGGCTCAACCCCAGGACAACACCACCCCATCCTTCAAACTGGGCTGGGGCAGCTCGTTGCCCCTTAGGTCTGCACTCGGGGGGTGACCGTGGAAGCGGGCAAGCCCATGGCAGGGCAAGACGAGCATTCCCCCTCCCGGAGAGGGACACGCACCGGCTGGATTTCACAGCAGGACTGCGTTGCCACGCCGAGATCCATCCTAAGGGACCAGAAACATCCTCAGGGGACATCAAGTGGCTGGATGCAAAGCAAGACTGAAAGACAGCCCTGCCGCTGATCTGATACACAAAGGCGTCGCTCGCCTTCCAGAACCAAAGGCAAAAAGCACTTCCACGAGGGTCGGATTAAGACAGACAGAGGAAATAAAAAGGCATACTAAAAAAATGTGGAAAATTTAACAATATCCAGAATTACCGCAGGTCTGCGGGAAGCGTGCGGCCAAAAGCGGGGATGGAACCCCAGGAGTGACTTGAGCGTCTCAGGAGAAAGCGCAGCCGCTCTTTTGGGCTTATTTGGTCAGTTTTTGAAGCAAGTGGTAAAGGACCTTTCCCAAAAGGCTGTTTATCTGCACGCTTCCTAGAGCAGAGATTTTTTCCAGTCTCTGGCAGTGTTTGCTCCACTGGTATCTAAGGCAACAGATACCAGCCCCATGAAATCAGCCCCACTCCTCACTAACGACGTTAGCCAGTCCTGCAATGAAATTTAACCTGTGACACTGCTGTACTTTTCATTTAAACTTTCATTTGGAGAGAAGCAGTGTTTGGAGACCCTGCAGTTTGTCCTGCTAATAAAGACAAGTGTTGGGACCTTTAAAGGTGCCATTCATCTTTTGCCTTTATTAAATTCAATTTTCTTAAGCCCATGATACATCATGAAATTAAGAGTTGACATTCCTGCAGAAACAAAAATATCTATCAAACATAAACAGAAAGGGGGTAAAAAAAAAAAGAGGCCTCTATTACCAAGAATTTATGGCTTAAAGTTGATCTGTTTCCACTTTTTTTTCCTCTCTCTTTTTTTTTTTTTTTTACAAGCATATGGTTTGTTTTAGATATCCAAAATGTTATTACAGATCTAGAATTTCATTAGTAATTATTATGAAATGGTGAGCACTCAGACACATACACACACACACACACAACCCCCCAGCAGACCGCGATGCAGGAAGGCAGCCGGGCGCTCGCTCACGTTTGACGGCAGCCCGGTGAGCTCAACACGCTCAGCTCCATCTCCACCATCAAGGACCTTCGCTGCTTCTTCCCAGATGGGAAAGGTGGAGGTGGGCAGCACAAGGGAATTAAAAGGAAGAGGTTCACTGACACCTCCTTTCTTTTATCAGACTCTGGCCATCCATAAGTGCTACCTTGACATCCTCGCCCATTTCCATTTCCAACACTGAGCAGACGTTCCAACTTGAGCGGTGATTCGTGCCAGCAGCATTTGGGGCTTCTAAGTCTTCCCCCCCCCCAGCTTTTCCTTACAGTGCAACCAGAAGTTATGGATGTGCTGAAATAACGCTGAGGGTGTCCAGAGGCTGCAAATAGCCGCAAGCTACCAGAAGAACAAATGTACCCATTTGAATTTTGTGAGCACTGCAATTAGGTATTTTATTTAGCACTGCAAAGTAACTTGAAAGGAAATCCAGGATTCAAACCACCACCAATAAATAAGCGGCTTTTTATTTTCCTTTCATTGTCATGAAAAGTTGAACATGTTTTCTGTTGAGAAATTCTGCACGCGGCTCCCAATTACAAGGCATTTGCATTTATATTGTTGGAACACAGACCTTCTAAAATCAATATTAACACGCTTAAAGAAAAAGACATCGGCACCCTGTCCCTCCCCTCAGCTGCGCCCCCAAACATGGTAACAATAGGAACCTACAGAGCCGGAGGCTTATACATATCCATTACCAGGTCCACTCTCTTTACAACAATCTTGCATTTATGATTTCATGGTACTTCAAGCAAATCTGTGTGACAGCTTGCTCAGAATTTTTGCCTTTTAAGAAAAAAAAAAAAAAAAAAAAAAAAAAAAACCCCCAAAAAAAAAAATCCCAGGGGCAACGCCCCCCCCCAATC